TCCACCGTCGGTCGTGCACCCCCGTACATCATCTTGCTCCGTCCAACCGCGCGCATCATGGGCCGATGCGCGCCATTCGCCCATTAGCCGATCGCTGTCGTCCTTCCCGTCGGCGATGGTCACCTTTGGTTCGGGCCATGGGTCCCAACCCTTCAACCTCTCACAATCCTCCGCCGGTATCCACCATCCTTTGTCACCCCATCGCAAAACCCGCCTTCTAGCCTCCTTCTTTTGAGCTCGTCTCTTCCTAGTGCACGGTCCACAACATTGGCTCGCCTTTTGCGCCTTTGTTTTGCGTCGCCTTTTGGCCCGGCGCTTCTTGACCTTCAACTTAGCCCGTGGACCATACCCTTTTGGCCAATATCGTACGCATGATGGCCGGTATATTGGAGTAGTTGGCTCCTCCAGCATGTTTTCCAGCCATATGTCGAGACCATCGTCACCTTCCTCGTCGGACTCGCCGGGGTTGATGACCACTTCCGTATCATTCCCCTCCTCTTCGAGACTTTCCTTGTCCTCATGGATTAGAAAATTGAGCGCACCATCATCTTCACCGTTCTGAACTTCACCCCCCGTTGCTTCTCGGCCTTCTAGGAGTTGTCGCTCGTACTCTTTTCGATTTCTTCGCTCATGGAGCTCGTATAGATATGTGCTCTCCCATGGGGTAAGTTCTCTCTCCAAACTCTCCAATAGTTCGAGATCTTCCCAATCCATCTCGTCCATTGGCACATAAGACATGATAATTTTTTTTTTTGAAGGCTCTATAAAAAAATCGAAAAAATAATTGAAAAATTCGAACAAGAGTTCGAAAATTTCGACCCCAAAAAAAGAAATTCGGCCCCTTCACCAAAAAGGTAATAACCGAAAAAAATCAAACAAAAGGACTAGCTGACATTTTTTTTTTTATACTACCGAATTTTCGAAAATTTGGGAACAAAAATTCGAAAAATCGATCAAAAAGAAATCAAAAAATCTGACCCAAAAGAAAAAGAATGAGATAGAAAAAGTTAACGAACACCCAATCGATCACTCTCAATGAAAGCACCAATGATGACTGATCGGGTGTTGCGTTCCCTCGACTTGTCTCGATCACGGCTTCACCACGGCCACGCTCTCGACGATAGGTGTGATTGACTCGGTTATTAGCCTAACTCTCTCACGATACTTGAGTTCACTCGGTTATTAGCCTCGCTACACTCTCGAAATAGATCGGGTCTTAGCCTCTCTAAATCGTTGAACTGGCTTGGGTCTTAGCCTCACCAATTCGATTGCATGATCGAATCTCACGACTCTAACACACGGTTTCGAACAAACGTTCTTTTCTATTTCATCATTCTTGGACATGAAAAACAATGAGGGATGATCCCTATTCATGGATCCTAATTACTACTAATTCTAATCTACCTAGGAAACATATTAAAGCAATAAAATATTAACTTCCTAAACATTCTAGATACTATTGTGCAAGAAGGAAACTAAATATATCAAAGTCTTAAATTGACTAGATCTTGATCTTGCTTGGCTTGCACTCCAAACAATTTCCATCTTATGCCCAAGCACTTTTCGGCCGCCTTCATGCGCGCACGCCCAAACCCTAACCGCCTTCGCGCGCGCCGACCTTCGAGACCAAATCCGTGTCGCGCGCGGCTTTGCGCGCGCGCGCCTCATCGCCCATCTCTTCTACGCCTATCGCGCATAGGTGTGCGTCCGTGCTGCCGTCCCACTCGCGCCCCATCGCGCGCTCCTCCTGTCCCTTGTTCGCATCCCGCGCATGCGCCTCCTCGCCCGGCATTCCTATGCCCGTAAGGACACGGTTTCCACCCGCGTCGCTGGTACTCACGCGCCCAGCGCTCTCCGCGTCCTCGCTGCCCAGGCCCCGCGCATCCCGGCCACCGTCCGCGCGCCAATCGCCTACGGCGCACCCTACCACGCCCGTGATGACGGATCGATCTTTTGTCTATACTGGGTTGCGAATAAACGGCGCACTGCGGCCTTCGTTTATCCCCGATAGGTGTATCTAGCAGACGCACTCAGGGCCTTCTTCTAGATACCGTGACTTCAAGACGCACTATTGGCCTTCTCTCCGACACTGCATGTAAAGACGCACTAATGGCCTTCTTTATCACACGTTAAGAACATAAAGTTCCCCCTCAAGATTGGCTCACCAATTCAATACTTCATTCAAGACATGTAAAATATGATGGGGTACATGGGGTATTTATAGGTGTAAAATAAATCTAAGCCTAAATCTACTAGATCTCCTAAATCTTGCAATAATAGAAATCCTAACTCTAGAAAGCAATAAAATCCTAAAGCTACCAAATAACTATTGCTTGGCTTGCACACCAAGCAAATCTAGAATGTCCCAAACTCCTCACATGTTCAAACTCTTTGGCGCCCCATCGCACCGCCTCTTGTCCGCGCGCCCTAGTCCTTGTCGCGCGCGGCTTCGCACGCGCGCGCCCCGCACGCTTCACCTGTCACGCCTAGTCCCTCTCGGATTGGGCCTTGCGCGTCCGTAGCCCACGCGTCGCCTTCCTCGCGCCCCTGCTGGATGTCGACTCCTTCGCGCGCGTGCTCATCCGTTGTCAGTACTCCTACGCCCGCTAGGTCTCGTTCGTCCGCTCCTGCCAGCACATCACCCGGCCTGCCTACTTCTCCGCGGACTAGGACGCTCGCGCTTATTGTGCACTCGCGCGCTAACGCACGACTGCTACTACCGCTGTCCAACTCCCGCGCGTCGTCACCGTCGCCTGCTACGCCTATGCCCACACGGATTAGGCGTTCGCCCGAGTCGCTGGTACTCGCGCGCCCCTCGCGTGCCTCGCCCCAGCTGGCCAACCTTCGCGCGTCCTCGTCACCCCCGCGAGTACCGCGCATGCCAGCCATCTCGCCATCACCATCGCACCCCGCGGTCTTGCCGACTTCCTCGCCCACATACGTCCACTCGCTACTGCCCGCGAGCCCCGCGCCACCGCCGGCTTCCTCATACGTGTGCGCTGCCTTTGCGCAACCCGTGCACCACGTCCCTTTGCCGCCAAACGCTAACGCATCCCAACCGACCTCCGTGGCCTGATCCTCCTACCTTATGCGCGCATCAAGGCACGATGCGCGTTCCTTGCTTGTGCTCGCACCCTCGCCGCCAACTGACTCCGGCTGCTCGCCCGATGGCCAGGGGTCCCATCCCTTCAACCTCACACAATCATTCGCCGGTATCCACCAACCATCCTTTACCCATCGCAAGCCACGCCTTTTAGCCTCCTTCCTTTGAGCTTGTCTTTTCTTTGCACAAGGCTTGCACCTACATTGACTTGCTCTTCGGGCCCGTGATTTGCGTTGTATCTTGGCCGTCCGTTTCCTTACCTTCGACTTCAGCTTTGGCCCACAACCTCTTGGGCAATCTTGTACATATGATGGCCGGTAAATAGGACTAGATGGCGCCTCCAACATATTTTCCAGCCAAATATCGAGACCATCGCCATCATCATTGTCGGACTCACCGGGGTTGATGACCACTTCCGTATCAGCCCGCTACTCCGCGCGTCGCCCCCATCACCTGCGGGCTCCGATCACCTCCTGCGCATCCCCGCGCGCCCGCTGCGTTGCACGCATTGCTCACTCCCGTGGACCGCTCATTCGTGCGCCTATCGCGCCCCGTGCCTTCCTCGCCGAATGCCAGCGCGTCCCAATCGACCTCCGACCCCATCCGCATGTCGCTCGACCCTGCGGCTCCACCGTCGGTCGTGCACCCCCGTACATCATCTTGCTCCGTCCAACCGCGCGCATCATGGGCCGATGCGCTCCATTCGCCCATTAGCCGATCGCCGTCGTCCTTCTCGTCAGCGATGGTCACCTTTGGTTCGAGCCATGGGTCCCAACCCTTCAACCTCTCACAATCCTCCGCCGGTATCCACCATCCTTTGTCAACCCATCGCAAACCCCGCCTTCTAGCCTCCTTCTTTTGAGCTCGTCTCTTCCTAGTGCACGGTCCACAACATTGGCTCGCCTTTTGCGCCTTTGTTTTGCGTCGCCTTTTGGCCCGGCGCTTCTTGACCTTCAACTTAGCCCGTAGACCATACCCTTTTGGCCAATCTCGTACGGATGATGGCCGGTATATTGGACTAGTTGGCTCCTCCAGCATGTTTTCCAGCCATATGTCGAGACCATCGTCACCTTCCTCGTCGGACTCACCGGGGTTGATGACCACTTCCGTATCATTCCCCTCCTCTTCGAGACTTTCTTTGTCCTAAAGGATTAGAAAATTGAGCGCACCATCATCTTCACCGTTCTGAACTTCACCCCCCGTTGCTCCTCGGCCTTCTAGGAGTTGTCGCTCGTACTCTTCTCGATTTCTTCGCTCATGGAGCTCGTCTAGATATGTGCTCTCCCATGGGGTAAGTTCTCTCTCCAAACTCTCCAATAGTTCGAGATCTTCCCAATCCATCTAGTCCATTGGCACATAAGACATGATAATTTTTTTTTTTTTGAAGAAGACTCTATAAAAAAATCGAAAAAATAATTGAAAAATTCGAACAAGAGTTCGAAAATTTCGACCCCAAAACAAAAATTCGGCCCCTTCACCAAAAAGGTAATAACCGAAAAAATCAAACAAAAGGACTAGATGACACTTTTTTTTTTTTTTGATACTACCGAATTTTTGAAAATTTGGGAACAAAAATTCGAAAAATCGAACAAAAATAAATCAAAAAATCGGACCCAAAAGAAAAAGAATGAGATAGAAAAAGTTCACGAACACCCAATCGATCACTCTCAATGAAAGCACCAATGATGACGGATAGGGTGTTGCGTTCCCTCGACTTGTCTCGATCACGGCTTCGCCACGGCCACGCTCTCGACGATAGGTGTGATCGACTCGGTTATTAGCCTAACTCTCTCACGATACTTGAGTTCACTCGATTTTTAGCCTCGCTACACTCTCGAAATAGATCGGGTCTTAGCCTCTCTAAATCGTTGAACTGGCTCTAGTCTTAGCCTCACCAATTCGATTGCATGATCGAATCTCACGACTCTAACACACGGTTTCGAACAAACGTTCTTTTCTATTTCATCATTCTTCGACATGAAAAACTATGCGGGATGATCCCTATTTATAGATCCTAATTACTACTAATTCTAATCTACCTAGGAAACATATTAAAGCAATAAAATATTAACTTCCTAAACATTCTAGATACTATTGTGCAAGAAGGAAACTAAATATATCAAAGTCCTAAATTGACTAGATCTTGATCTTTCTTGGCTTGCACTCCAAACAATTTCCATCTTATGCCCAAGTACTTTTCGGCCGCCTTCATGCGCGCACGCCCAAACCCTAACCGCCTTCGCACGCGCCGACCTTCGAGACCTAATCCGTTTCGCGCGCGGCTTTGCACGCGCGCGCCTCATCGCCCATCTCTCCTACGCCTATCGCGCATAGGTGTGCGTCCGTGCTGCCGTCCCACTCGCGCACCATCGCGCGCTCCTCCTGTCCCTCGTTCGCATTCCGCGCGTGCGCCTCCTCGCCCGGCATTCCTATGCCCGTAAAGACACGGTTTCCACCCGCGTCGCTGGTACTCGTGTGCCCAGCGCTCTCCGCGTCCTCGCTTCTCAGGCCCACGCGCGTCCCGGCCACCGTCCGCGCGCCAATCGCTTACGGCGCACCCTACCACGCCCGCTACTCCG